GTGTGAGTGTGAGTGTGAGTGTGAGTGTGAGTGTGAGTGTGAGTGTGAGTGTGAGTGTGAGTGTGAGTGTGAGTGTGTGTGTGTGTGTGTGTGTGTGTGTGTGTGTGTGTGTGTGTGTGTGCGTGCGTGCGTGCGTGCGTGCGTGCCCGAGCGTGTGTGTGCGACTTCGCCTTCGTTTGCGTCCGCGTGTTTTTGGGCGTGTGTTCGTGCATACGCGCGCGTGTGTGTCTCTGTGTTTATGTGTGTGTGTGTGTGTTGGGGGCGGGATGCACGCGTGAAATTGTACATGTGTATATGTGTGTATCTGTGCATCATGTCGCGGCATGTATGCGCGCGTGCCTGGTTGTGAGTGTGCCTCTTTATATATGGGTGTGCGTGTTTGGGTTTGTGTGTGCGCGCGTACGCGCGCGCGTGTCCATGTCCTTCTGCATGCATGTGCGTGTACGCTTATACATGAGAGTAGACTGTATTTTCGTGTTTGGTTTGACACGAGCCATGTCGATACATGTGCGCTGACGAAATTCATCTTGATTGACTACAATGTAATTTGCTGCGACATGCCGTAATTTTGTGTTGGACATGTTGCTGCTGCATCAATGTTGGAGCTGAACAACTTTGATGCGAATGCAATCAGATGGGGGTCGTCGTCTAGTTCGAAGCTGCATATAAGCAAGAATGCTGACACTTGTGTGCTCACTGCTGCCGATTCCCTACGTGAGCGTTAGCCTAGCACGTCGTCAAATCAGCATAAATCATAGCAAGCGGAAAGACATAAACGGCTTTAGGAAGGGACCTACCTATGCAGAGGCTACAGTGCGTATATGATAACGATAGCTCTTGCCGTCTATAAAACTCGCTGACAGACTACCGGTCCAATCTTGCCACCAGTACTGTCAGTGAGCCCTTTGCTATGACAGTGATGGACACGTGACCCACAATTACTAAAAATCAATAGCTAGGCTTCCCGCAAATGTAAACCCAACTAACATATAGATGGATTATCACACGTCTACTATAGAAAGGCTCTTATAGCGTGTTGATTATATAGCCATATCGGACATGAGGGTGACAACCACACACATGATGTCCATCTCGTGAAGCCATGGCTATGAAATGATACAGACGATATAAGAAACAGTACAGCCGTACAATATATGTCACATAACAGCAGCTCGCATGCTGTATTTATTACTCACGGTTGTGTGATGACAGACAGCACCGAACAGCAACGTTTGCTCAATACAAACCCCGAACACCGTTAAAACAAGCTGGGAATGCCCGCAGAGAGAGGCAAGGAAATGCCACCTGCAACATCTACCATGCATTTTTTACTTTTCGAATAATAAACGATGGTAATTTATTTAAAAAACATGAGTACATATGCGAGACTCCTGTTTTGTATATTAACATGTGTTCGACTAATATCTTACGGTTTCGACGCAGGCGGTACCTATATTTATGCGCTTCCGAGCTGGCGAGACCAAAACTGACAATATTCACCAAAACTCGCAGCGGCTACTATAACTGGTGTTCGTAGATCCCACAGATAATTTCCCTCACACATTGAATTCGAATTTTGTTTAGTGCCGACGTGAAGTTGCAAATTTTGGCACATCGTCGTGTGGGACAACTACCCGCGACCCGTCTGTAGATCAGCTAATAATTGCGTCGCAGACGTTCGCTGGCTGTACACTGGACGGTTCCGCGCCATCCGTCGAGATCATCGAAGCTTTCGAATAGTTTTCTTCGTGCACGGTAGCTATTTTAATGCCCAGAACAAGCTTGTAATGTGTTTTTGTTACATCTGCTATGGACAAGGTCACGTACTCGGGTGTGTGCCTCTGATTGTTGTTGACCTGCTCGCAGCCGTAATGGGAAGGCAAGCTGTTATGTGACGCACATATATCTATCTATCTATATATATATATATATATTCATTTCTGCGTGCGCGCGGGTCGGCGTGCGTGTGTAACGTGCGTGGTGCGGTGCAAGGTGAAGTGAAGTGACATTACGTAACGTGGCATGACATGACGTTAAATGATATGCTAGCGTAATATAGCACAAGACCGAACGGTACGGTCTGCGGGGTAGTGCGTTATAGCGTATGCTAGCGTATGCTAGCTAGACAGCGTCATGGTGAAGAAGGGAGCGGTGGCTAGAGTAGAGGGTTGTCATGCCATGTTAGGGTAAATAGTGTAGAGGAACAGAAATAGGACAGGATGTAGCGATAGAAAAATACACGGTAATATACAGTACACTAGGCGCCACCTTCCCACGTTACTGCAATTGTCCGTGGATTAAAATGCTTAGGTATGAATCAACTACGCTATCTGCGATTACTGTTGTAAACGGCAGTCATCTGATAATATACAACCAGTGACTGCCAGACCGCGCACTTGACGTTTAGCAAACGCCATGATTTATGAATGGCCAGATGCAGCGGATCATCAAATACGCACCGCTCGGACCCTAGCGCAGGAGAGTGGCGGCAGTAGATAAAGGTCGGGCGTGAGAGCAGCCGTACTTTAGCGCTACCGTGTGGCGCGGTCACAGCAGTAGCTCATCATGTTGAGCCGTCACGTGCCATGCTTTCACACCTTACTGGCTTGCTAACGATCAGGCTGCCGTGCCCTCATGACGCCTCTGCCGCCCACTATGTACAGCTCTACCGCCTGCGATGCACCGATATGTACTACTATCTCTCCTCTCTCCCTCCGGTCTCCCCCCCGCTCCACCTCTCGCTGTGTCTCTCCCTCGCATTGTCCCTGTATCCCCCACTCTCTTATCTCTCTCCCCCTCTCTCTATTTATTTATATATTTATATATCTATCTATCTATCTATCTATCTAAAGCGATGAGAGGAGAAGAGAGAAACACAGAGTGGGGAAGATGGGGAAAGCGCGCGTGCAAGAGAGAAAGAAATTGAGAGACGAAACTCAGTTCGAGAGGAAAAGAAAAGGGAAGAGTGAGAGGGAGTAGGGGAAGAGGGAGAGAGAGAGAGAGAGAGAGAGAGAGAGAGAGAGAGAGGAGGAGAGAGAGAGAGAAGAGTGAGATAGAAGAGAGCGGAGCGCGATGAGAGCAGAGGAAGAGAGCTGGAAAACAAAACATACAGAGAGAGTGTGAGAGAGAAGGAGAGCGAAACGGAGGCATGAACAATGAGAGAGAGAGAGAGAGAGAGAGAGAGAGAGAGAGAGGAGAGAGATGGAAAGAGAGAGATAGAGCGAGAGAAAGATAAATAGACAGCGATAGAGGACGGTAGAGAAAGAGAGAAAGACAGAGAAAGTGGGAAGATGAAAAGAGAGGGATAGAGAGAAACAGATACAGATAGAGAGAAAGGGGGAGGGAGAAAGAGCGCGCGCGCGAGAGAGAGAGAGAGAGAGAGAGGAGAGAGAAGGGAAGAAGAGAGAGGGAGAAGAGACGAGATAGAGAGGACATGTGGATGAGAGGAGGAGAAGAGCAGGCCAAGAAAGAACAAGATACAGAGAGAGAAGAGAAAGAGAACGAGAGAGAGAGAGAGAGAGAGAGAAAGACGAGAGAGGGCGAGAGAGCGATAGAGAGACGAGAGACCGCGAGGATACAGAGAGGAGAGAGAGAGAGCGAGAGAGAGAGAAGAGTAGAGAGAGACGAGAGAGAGAGATGGAGAACATAGACAATGAGAGATCGGAGACAGAGAGAGAGAGAGAGAGAAGAGAGAGAGAGAGATGGAAGAAAGAAACAGATACCGAGAGAGTGTGAGAGAGTAAGGAGAGGCGAAAAGCAGAGACAGAGAGAGATTGAAAGAGAGAGAGAGT